CCCGGGGTCTCTCCAGAGGCTGACTGGAGGCCCACCCTGACCGTCTGCCCGGGGCAGAGCTGGTAGAGATGCCCCCATGGGGCACAGCCTCGCCTCATTAGTCACCACTGCCCAGGGCCCACTGAGTGCAGCCCGGCGAGCTGTCCCCCGCGGCTGAGCCCCTCCAGGCCTCAGGACAAGGCAAAGTGCTCCCCCGCATCAAAGCCTGCCGGGGAGCCGGGGGCTCCTTCACCCCTTCGCGTTGCCTTCCCCAGGACCCCCAAGGAGAAGGCAGGCCCCGCTGCCCAGCCCTCGCGCAGGGCCCAGCCCCTGCTCACCTCGTGGGCTCTGGGACTTCTTCTAGCACCATCTGGAGCACACTGTGAAAATCCCTCAGCTGCAAGACAAACACAGCACCCTGAAAACAGACTGCCCTCCGTTCAGGTGGCCCTGGAGAAGCCGGGAGCCATGGCAGGAATTCCTTCTCCCCCTGGCCTCGCTGCCACAAAGGCCTTCTGGAAAACACAGTGCTGCTACCTCCCCCCTACCCTAGGGGAAGAGGCGTGGGCCTGCCAGGACGGGAGCCAGGACTCAGGGGGGCCACCGCAGACTCCAGACTGGTGTTCCTCCCTCAGCTGCGCCCAAGCGGACAGGAAGGAAAGGCCCTCCAGACCCTGACGTTGCCCACCAGCAGAGCCCTCAACCGTGGGCGGCACCACACCCTCCCAGAACAGTGAGGCCGGGGTGCGGAGCTGAGAGGCAGAGGGTCCCAGGGCACCCCCTTCACACCCAGCTCTCACTCCCCTCTCGAGTCACACACAGGGCCTCGCACTGGAGCCCCCTGTGTGAACCTTGTGCTCTGCACCTGCACCTCACACACCGGGGGGTGCTGGGGGCTGCCCAGGGGTGGCACTGTTGTCGACTCAGCAGAAACACAGAAGACACCAGAGCTGAGGAAATGAGCCCAGGGTCTCGCGGCAGACCGGGTGTGTGCACGGTCAGGACCCAGCCAGAGAGGCTGCTTCGTCCTCCAGCCCCACTCTTAGCTAAGGGCCGGCCTCAGAGGGTGCCGGGATCTCGTCAGGCTCGGCTGTGGCCTCAGTGTCACTAAAGAACATGGGCAGGGGGTGGTGGAAGTACCCTGACCCAGGCATGCGTGACGACCACGATGGCACCATTTTAACCTCATGAGGAGAGAAGCTCAGGATGAACTCGTGGTCCGTGTGGGGGCTGAGAACCCCTCTCTCGGGCAGGACGGAGAAGGCCGTCTCCCTGTCAGGGTGGTACTTGAGGCTGTCCATGCTGTAGGTCTCTCCAGGCATCAGGGGCTGCAGGTTTGGCTTCATGATCTGCCAGTGGAAGGCCAGCTCCACGTGCCTGTGGGGGCAGGGGATCCAAGGCCGCATCCCACCTCTGCCGGGACCGGGACCGGTCCTCCCACCCCCTGCCTGGCCCGGCCCTGCTCTAGGAGCAGGAAGTGGCCAGGTCAGCCCTGAGGCTCGTCCAGTGGAGGAGCCTGGGGAGCGTGTGGGTCAGAGAGTCTGCCAGAGACCTCGTAAGAGAGCTGCCCCCTCCCCACCATAGCAGTTGGGGGTTAGAGCCACGGTGACTCAGGAAAATGGTGAACACAGGGAACCAGGCTCTAACTATTAGGCTACGGACCCTAGGACATTTTTCTGTGGTGTCTCCTACCATGTGAGAGTTCCAAAGGTTTGCCCCATGAACTCCCCCCTCCACTGCCCTCCACCTCTCCAGCTGTGGCCTCCCAGGGCGGCTCTGTCCGGCACTGGCTGCCAACAGAGCAGGGACAACTGCATGGGGGTGGGGAGGCGGGACTCTGGCACACTGCTGATGGGGAGGGACAGCAGATGGTAAGGCCCAGGGTCACCCGGGAAGCCTGGCTGGCAGTGAGAACTGAACCCACTGGCCACAATCTGATCCTGGGACGTGGATGGCTTCCCCTCATGGGCATGGCAAGACCTCTCTGTAAAACCGTTCTGGGGCTAAGGGTAGTCCAGGATAATCTAGAACACTGCCCACTATAACTTCCTGCAGTGAGGGAAAACGTACGTATCTGCTCTGTCCAGTGTGGCTAGCGACACGTGGCTAGCACTCAACGTGTGACTGGGGCCACCGAAAAAGTGAGTTTTAGTTTAATTTTAGTTGATTTCAACTTAAATGGTCACCTGTGGCCACCATGATGGACAGGGAAAATCTGGAGCCTCCTTGCCCATTGGGAGCTCCGGGCCAGGCGGGGAAGGAGAAAGGGTGTGTGTTGAAGGGTACTGCCCAGCGGTCACTCACGTAGCGTTTCTAATAATGAGCTGTTTTCTAGCTGTGGACTGAACGTTCTCAGGCTCAAAGCGTATGAAGTGCTGGGCTGTTACGTCTGTAAGCTCTCCAGGCTCCGGCTGACTTTCTTCACCAGAAATATAGATCAGATCCAAAGCAACCAGCTGCCCAATTCCTGACACAGTAAGGTGATAAAAAGGGCTGAAATCAGGACTCTGTGGCCAAAGGCTGTCACGGGATCTACGCTACCATCCACATGCAACCGGCCTTGATCATGACCCCAGGAGGTGGACACAAGAGGGTAACAGGGGCTTCAGCACGCAGATCCTGTCCCCACATCTTCCCAGACCAAAAGGAGGTGATTTTGATAACCTGGTACATAGCGGGTACTCAGTTAAATGCTTGCTGGGTCAAACTGGAAGGAAGGGAGGGAGGGAGGGGG